ATCCAATAAATAAATAAATAAATAATAAAAAATAATAAAAAACTAACACCAGTCTTTGTGCAATTAAAAATGAAAGGTACCTGAAACTAGAACAATAGATTCCGTCTGAAATGAGAAGAGAAGAATGCCCAAGAAAAGTTAAAAGAGTTTTGCAATTTGGTCCAGGACTGTATGTGTAATGTTAGAGAAAAAAGATAATATTGGGTACATCTGTGCTTCCTCATTTTGCACTCAAAAAGCTTGCAGTCCCTTCTGCTTCAGAGGCAGCCACAATGTGATGATTGTTATAGGCAACCTGTCACCTGAAACAATGTTCTAACTTGTCTGTCAACAATGATGGCTATCCCCTCAAAAAAATATCCTATTTTGTCTTTTCTTAAATGAAAAAGGAAAGTGGGCTGAAGCAGAATAATTCTGAGCAGTGGATTATTCCTCCCTTGCCCTATAAGTGATTACTAAGAGGATAGTGATGGGAGGGTGATTAAACAAATGAAAAGTATATGTTACAAAAGGACTCCATGAAAATACCTCCTCCCTCCCCATATATTCTTTTTTGGTCCGCTTCCTCCGCATCCTCTCCTGGAAAGCAGATCCAATCTTCAAAGGATTTTAAAGGTAATTAGTCATTATACCCAATGGCAAATGCAATAATTTTTCCAAGTGCGTAGTAATGAAGTATACCTACCTCAGTTGCTTAGCGCAATATTCCACAGCAAGTAATAACTCGATTGCAGGATACAAACCACAGCGTGTGCTCTTGGTGGAAAGCAGCACAGCCCACTTCCAGCCTCCCACAAACAATAATTGTCCTGCTTGCTTCCAAATGCTTAACAAGTACTTTTCTAAATAGGAATGTGGTTGCAATTTGTGCTGCTTCTTTGTTGACTTGTCTTTGTAATTACTCTGGGTGTCAAAAATTCCCTCACAAATTATTTGTGCTCATTTCCCATTTAATTTAATAGTCTCCAGTTCTGGACTCATTTGTGTTCATGAATAGCTCTGCAGTTTTCTTCCTTTTCTTACCTGGGAACAACTTCTATCGTTGTTGCTAATTTCCTTTTTCTGCAGCAGTGAAGGTATATTCCATTTTGCCATGTTTAGTAACCCTTTTTTCCCTCTCAGTAAGGATAGCAACATGACAGAATCATCCTCATATTTTTCTCAACTTCTACTCCCACTACCTCAAGTCCAAAGCCTATTCTGAGAAAGTAAACGGTAATTCTTTAATAGTCAAATATAATGGGGGAGGACTTTTAGAGCTAGAAAAGAAGGTTGCTGGGGAAAAATGCAAAAACAAACAAAAAAGAAAAAAATAATATTGCCTGCATCAACCCAATTAAAATGCATAAGAGTGTCTTTAGACACACATATTTTTAAAGCTAAATACTTTTAATTTTAAATAAAAAACCACAGCAATGATAGTTTATTACCTTTGTTCAATAATCACAGCAATATATATTTTTATTACCTTTGTTCAAAAATAATAGACATGTATTTGATATAAACTGATGATACTTAAAATTCTCAGATTTAATATTTACTCATTGAGTTATACCTCACTTCTATGTTATCTTAGAAAACAAACGATGAGAATAACTTTTAAAATGTTGTAAACGACATGCATTTTGACCAGATGATTTTATGTAATGTATTTCCTGTAATATATAGGCTACTCCTCCCTGAAGATTTAAGAGTCAGTAACAATTTAAAAAATAAATAAATGAGCCTTTAAAAATCAGCTTGCAATAAGGCAGCTACTATACTTGTCTTCCAATTTCCAAGTAGAGCAGTTAAAGCTCTGTTGCATCACCCAATAGCAGAACACTAGGATTTGTTTCTCACTAAATCCGGTAGAGCTAATTTCTAAGCAGAGATGCACTGCAGATCTTCAGAAATCATAATTTATTTATTACTAGGACTTTTATGCTGCTCTACTCCACAGGGCCTCTGAGCAGCTTATATTCCCCTTCTCCATAAGAAGATTAAAACAAATCAACACAATATCCATATTATATTATGATTAGAATAACCCCAAACAGCACCACGCTACGTATGTATGTGTGCATATGTATGTATGTGTATGTATGTATGTATAACCAAAAAAGGAGGGGCTTGCCACTTATTACAAATCCTCCTCCCAGGGTCCTCTAAAATAAGCACATTTTTATGGCTTTCTGGAAAATCAACAGGGTGGATGTACATTTTCATTAGTCTTGTGAGAGAATTTTCATACAGAAGCAAATTCCCTTTCCCTCTCTCACTGCCACCCTAGACGTGTATCTTCCTTAGCAAATACCTTGTAAATAAAAAGAACTTAAGGGCAGGCACAGGTGAACCTTGTACAGGGAGGGGAGGTTTTATCTTTCCCTTCCCCCTTCACCAGTTCAAGAAAAATCGCCGTCCCAGAAATTACTATTAATCTCACAAGAAATCTTTTGTATTATGATGCTAATGAAAATCACCTTACCTACTTGTACCTGTTTTAAAAACTGATGCGACAGATAAAAGGCACATTCAGAGAAACATTTAAAAGCTTACATAGCATATAAGGAAAATCATTTATCCTAAAGTAATATTAGTAAGATCCTCCGGAATTTTGTACAAACAAATCCACACAGCTAGTTGATTTTGTCAATAGACATTTAAGAATATAGTTAATGCAAGTTTTCTTACTTGTTCTGGATTATATTTTGACAGAATACCATCCCCATGGAATTCTTCCAAAACATCTCTCAATTTCTTGGTAGAATCTGAAATACAGGCCAATAAGATTAAGAGCAGCCTATTTCCAAAGAAGTTCTTCATAACAGGTCAAGTTAAGCAATGATTGTACAGAATAATAGCAACATCTTGAATTAAAATAGTAAAAACTATAGATATTTCTATAATATGAGGAGGATCTACTCTGCTTTCCTTTAAATGGCTTAAATTGTACTAATAATTGTGAGATCTGCTTTGTTAAATCCTAGAGCTATCTTGTAAGTAATAGATACACTATATTGCAAATACAAATGTTTGACCATGTTATTGTGTGCAGGGTAAAAAAACAAAACAAAAACAAAAACAAAACCCTGCCTTCTTTGTAAGATATGCCAGCCTTATAACCACTAAAATCTAGTGGTTAGAACCACAATTTTCTCTGCAGAAAGCATTTCCAAATAGAGTTGGGGGGGGGGGGGAAAGTCTTCCATACAAACCACATAATGATTTCCATGGTGATTAGCATTACAATAAAAGTAAGGAGAGGCAAGTTCCCATCCCCATCAAGTCATTGAATGCTGACTGGATGATCTTGGACTACATATATTTCAGCTTACTTGTAGAGTTGTTGTGAGGATAAAATAGGGATTGAAAGCACCATTTTCCCTTCCTCTCTCTAACATAAAACACCGTGAAGAAGCACCATCCCTGCATGGGATATTTAGAATGGTTGAAAGTGTGATGAATGAAAGTGAAAGGCAGACAAGCAGAGGGGGCTATAAGGTATTTACATATCATGAGGAGAAAGGATCTCTGTTGAGTAAGTGATCCTCCGGATGCACTATTTCCGATCATGCTTTCTACTCCCTAGAGGAGAAGATGGAAGAAAAAGATTCTCAATCCAAGATATTATGCAGGCTGAGGCAAAACTGCAAATGGGACTTTTCACCAACCCAAGTCATGGGGTGTACTATTTAAGCTAGTGCAAGAGATGGAAACATTGGGTTGTAAACTACCCAGAGTTTGACTTTATGATGGTCAGCTATACAAATGTTTTAAATAAACAAATAAAAATCCCACAAGCACCTCAATTTGCTACCCTTTCACAAATTTGTTGCCTGAGAAAGTACTCTACTTAATTATTCAGCTGTCCTTGGCTACTGATACCCTGAAGCCAACAATGCCTTGGAGCTAGCATTAATGGCATCTTGATTGATTCAAGTTAATATATAAGAAGGAAAAGATCAAAGGACCTAGAATCACTATTTATTTATTTGTATTCCAGAATTTATAATTTGCTCCAATCTCAAAGGACTCTGGGCAGCATGCAGTAAAAAAGAAACAAACAAGGGGAAATATGACATAGGAATAAAATCCCTAACGGAAGCCAAGATAGACATCCTAATCAATCAGTCAGTTGGGGCCAAAGGCTTGCTGAAATAAGACAGGTTTAACTAATTTCTGGAATGTTGGCAAAGTAGAGGCCACATGTACCTATCAGAAGAGGGTATTCCAGACTGGGGGGACCACCACAGAGAAGGGCTGTCATCTTGTCCATGCCACATGTATTTTGCAATGGAGGGAGGACTTTTAATAGGCCTTCTTTAAATGATTGGACTGGTTTATTTTAAACTAAGTTCATCTTTTTTTTTTTCAGACACCACAGTGGATATTTACAAAAGGCTGGCTTTCCATTCTTTACACTGAAGATGTAACAGATTTGAAGCATCTTAACACATATGATTTGGACCTACCCTTTTGTTGTCTCATTTTAGCTCAATATTTTTATTTTTATTAATATGGAATTTGTGGATTTATGAGGAATCTTGGATATTTTGGATTTGGGGTGTTGCAAACATAATAATATACTTCTGGGGAAAATGAATTATCCTAGAAGTCAAATCCTAGACTAAAGAAATGTGTTTGCTTTCAACCTTGAACTGGCCCTTTATTGATGCAACGAAAGGACTAATATAATTCTGTCTGATTAAGGTTTAATCGGTTGTTTAAAAATGAGTGGCTTTATAATGTTATAATGCTTTAAAAAAAAGAGAAATGGGAAAAAGAGATTTTCCTTTTTTCTCAGATATATATCAATATATCTTTTTCTTTTTAATGTGTTTTTACTTATAGCAAATAAAACAATAAAAAAATTAAAAATCTGCTTTGAAGATGGCACAGTTCTATAAAAACTGCACAGTATATTATTCTGGAACCTATTTCCTTATCCCTACTGCTATTGCTACAGAGAACCAAATCTCAGAGTAAATGTTATTGATTGATAACAGAGGTAGAATGGAGGCAATTTTGCATTTTGGTGGCCAAAAAAGACAGAGTGTTTAAATACCACATCTCTTCCACCTGCTAGGGCTCAGAAATTAATGATTTAGCTTATCTTCTACTCCTTTCAAATTCTTAATACCCACTGTCATGCCCACTTTTTATCTGCAAGGATTACAGCCTGGTTCTGTAGTGTGACAGTAAATTGAACTTCTTTTATGGGCTAATTCACAAGCCATCATATGGTTTGATTGATTTTGGCTTAGCATGATATATGAACCCACCCATTATAACATAATACTATGAGTAAACCATGTCACTTTAAGTTGTTGAGCGAAGTTGTAGCTTGATATTATACGTAACAGAATTAATATAATAGGATATGATAGTATCTCTTTTTATTTCTATCATCAGCAATATTAGAGAAGAGTTCTTCCATAATATGTTCTGAACATGTATGAACATAATGAAACCATTGTTCTCTGCTTCTTAATCTTCCTTTACTGAGCTCTCAGAACTCCAGGAATTGAAATATCCCAGCAATCTCACAGTTCAACTGCCCTGGATTAAGAAATTGGTCCCAGAGGATCAAAACAGACTGAAAAACTACAGGAAAATGATTAAAAGTAAATGCCTGTTTTGTGATGTCTAAAGAAGTTTCTATATATAAACTATAGGGATTGCTCAAGATCCCATCTCTTCAGGGATAATGAATTTTGTGATGTTTAGGCTAGAGACTCCGAAAGATTAAATTCATGGTGATAAGTCAGTGGGAACATTCTTTTCTGTATATTCTCAGCACTTCAACTTCACACTGGTCTTCCCAAATGGGAGTGTGGGATTCAATTTCAGCTCTACTGGCTTCACATCCTGTGAAGAAGAGCCTATCACCTCTCTGAATAATGCGTTCTGCTGACAAATTGCTTTTATTAAGATTTTTAAAATCAATTGATAATCAAATCAATTATTCTGAGTCCTGCACTCTAAGATGATGACAGGCTAAGTCTTTATATTGTTCTGTTGACATTCTTTCAGGTATATGAAGATTGCTTCCTTTCAATCTTTTCTTCTCAAGGCTAAAGTTTCTCAGTTCCTTCAATCTGTCTCTGTAGCAGATTTAGTTTCTAAGTCCTGTTCACCCTTGTTGCCCTTTTCTGGACCTTTTTTAATTTCTGTAGATTTCTCTAGAATTTCCCCTCTTAGTGTGGTGCTCAGAAATGAACACAGTGCTCAAAATAAGGTTTGTCCCAAGCAGAATAAAATACTTCCCATGATTAAGATGCTGTACTTTCCAATGTTTAAATCCTACAAATTGCATTTCCTTCTTTAACAGCCAGATCACCTTGCTTACCCAATTTGTGATCAACTGTTATTCCAAGACCTTTTTTCAAGTACTACGGCCAAGCCAAGTATCTTTTATCTTATATTTGTGAATCTGAATTTTATTTCCTTAGTAAATAGCTTTGCATTTTCACTGTTAAATTTTGTTCTATTATTTTCAGAACATTTTTCTAACCTATTAATATTGTTTTTAATTTTATTTCCCTCTTCTAGAAAATTAGTTATATGACCAATTTTGCTTCATATGCAAATCTGATAAGCATAACCTCCATCCCCTCATCCAAGTAATTAATAAAAATGTTGAAGGGTACAGAGCCCAGGACTGAACCTTTTGACACCCCACTTAATATTTCCCGCAGTTTGATTATTTTCAGACCAGCAGTGTAGCCTCTTAATTGTTATAATATCCACCCCACATTTAACTAGGTCTCCAATTCTGGGGTGTGTGTGTGTGTGTGTGTGTGTGTAAAATCTATAGTATTCATATAATTTACTAACATTACCCAATCAAAACATGAGGTACAATTAGTCTGGCAAGGCTTGTTTTTGATAAATCCATACAAATTTCTCATATTTACAATGTTGTTTTCAAGGTAGTTACAGATCATTGCTTTATGATCTGCTCTAGAATTTTACCAGGTTATTGATATCAGAGTGACTAGTCTGTAATTCCTTGGATTCTCTTTTTCTCTATATTTGAAGATATGGACATCTGGTATTTCAGTATCATCTGATATTTTATCCATTCTCTGGGATTTCTCAAAGATAATACATAAAGGAATGGCCAGACCATCAGTAATCTCCTTCATATCCTAGTATGCAATTTGGGCCCCAAAATTAAACTCATTCAAAACAAAGAGATTGTTTCTATCAATCTCAAGCTTCAATACTGTTTCTTCACCCTGGGTTTCACAATTCCCTGGTGGAATACATGCTTTGTTGTTAGAGAAGACAAAACTAAAACAGGACTTGAGTAGTTTCCTCTCATCTGCTAGCATTTTGCCATCTTCACTAGCAGCTGATATACAGATCCTGTAAGTCTAATTGATATTATTCAGTCATCAATTGCATTGTATCCAAGTACTATCCTTGCTATATCCTTCCTAATTATGAAAGCAATATCATTTGTTCTTTGTTTTTCATGTCCTGAGTAGTAAACCGTATGATTTTCTGACTGTCCAATTCTAGTCCATTTCAATTTTCTGCTGTCTAAGATGTCAGTGTGTCATCAATTAATTTAATCTTTCACTGTGCTGAGTTTCCCGTGTTCATGCCTCTTACATTCCATGTTCCATGTCTTTGAAGCTTTGCATTTTGAATTTTTCAAAATGTCAAAACTTTGAATTTTCTTTTCCTACATGACAACATCAGCAACTTGAAGTCCTGAAGGCTTAGTCTAGCCACGTCATGAACTCCATTAGTACTTCAAAACATCCTCAGCTATACCTCAGTAGCTTGTTGAGCACCATTCAACCTGAGGAGACCATCTTCCGGCAACAGATTGTCAATCATTTTATATTTTCTATCCATGTGGTTTTCTTGGTAAAATACTGGAGTGGCTTACCGTTATCTTCTCCTGTGAAGTATGAAATGATGCCTTTGTCCTTGTTACTAAAGTGTTCTTCTACCTCTAGCACCTTCCAATATTGCTGCTGCAAATGTATAGGTGCCTGCTTGCTTTAGCTGAGCAGCAAGGATGGCTTTCATGCCTTGAGTGATCCTGCTGGGATTATACTCTCTTGACATATACTCCAGGCATTTTTTGCTCATCCTTCCCAGGAACACTACCCCTCCCTTGATGAGACAGCACAGCAGGACTTTGGGAGGGGTTCTACTGTATTACATTCCTCTTTTTGAAGTCCAAGATATGCATTTGATTGCATTCAGCTTTAGTTTCCCTTGATATCAAGAATGCCACCATAACATTTCCCCCCAATCTTTTTGCTATCTCTATTTCCTTTACTAAATCTTCTGTATTTATTACTATTAAACAAGGGTAACTGACCCTCTTGTGCCTTTCTTTGCCTTCAGAAGGAGATTGCTATCAGCAAGGCAAGTCAGAAATTCCCTGGTAGGATGATACTTGGCAAGAATTCATCTCCCAAAAGATGCTGAGTTAAAGTTCTCATCAGTACTGTTTCATATCCTTTTGAAAATTCTGCAATTAGGTTTTGGAAAGCTACCCACACTTTCCCTGTGGTTATGCAGATGTTAGTAGACACCAACTACAGTATTATTTTTATTCATTCCTCCACATATTTTAACCTAGATGCTTTCTACAATCAAATTCATTCACTTGGATTTCTGAATAGGAAACTCCTCCCCCCTTTCTATTGCTTCTGTCCCTTTTGAACAAATTATATGCTTCAGTTATTATATCCCAGTCATGAGAATCATCCTACCAGGTGTCTGTTATTCCTATGAATTTATTTATTTATTTATTTATTTATTTATTTATTTATCCAATTTGTAAAGCCACCCATCTCAACAAGTGACTCTAAGTGGCAAACAACAACAAACAGAATAAAAACAATTATATCATGGATACAAAAATTAAATACAAAAATTAAAACCCATAGCAGCCAAGAGAAACAGCACAGTCAGCAGCATGAATATAGCCAGGAGATGGTGCTTTCAAATACTTGAGGCCCCAAGCCCAGGCCAGAACTAGGTCTTTAGAGCCTCACAAAAGGCCAGCAGGGTTGGGGCCATCTAATCTTCACAGGGAGAATACTAAGAATTGAAGCTCATCTTGTTTATTTCCCATTCTGAGCATTAATGTGTAGACAACAAAGGGCATTAACTTTATAAGCCAATGGTCTGATTTTTTTCACTGAATAGTTTGCAAGCCCTCTTACAATACCACTCACTTCCTTCTATGGTGCACAAGTCCTTATCTGAGCAACTTGTTTCAGGCTTGGAGGGAAAATTTGTTAGGAACTTCCCATTAAACTCTCCTGCCAGACCCCCCCGGCAAACTCAGTTTACTCCCTGGAATCTGGCTGCTTTATAGCCTGCCTACAGTCTGTACTTACTCAGCAGTAGACTGGTACTCAATCACCTATAATGAGCAATCTGCTGCTAGGAGGACACCCCCTTGCAATTAGCAGCTATTCAGAAGTTACCCTCACAGAAAACACAGCTTCTCTAATCACTTTTCTCTCTTATCTTTTCCTTCTGTTGAACTCCCTAGCAAGCTCCGGTATGCATGACTGAGATGTACTGTGAGTTCTATGCATACATCCTTAGAGTTCTCAGTTGCCATGGCATGAACTGTAGCACCTTGTAAAAACAAAACTAAACAAAATTGGACCTTATCCATTATGTGATGGAGGTCAGTCTGTTGAATGTTATTGCTAACATAAATAATCATCAAGATTATTTGCATTGGCGTTTGGCTGAGGTAAAGTACTTACATTCAGAATACTGCTGCAGCTGTGCAAACTCTGCTGGGCTAAGCATGATCCACGCCCCATCACTCATCTTTCAAGTGGAGTTGTGAGGAGGCCGTGTCACCTCTAGTCAATGTTCATGGAGAAGATGCACATCTAGATCTAGGAATTCTTCTGGGTCATCACTCCAATTTGGATCTGCAGGTGGTTCCCCTTTCTGTACTACTATTGTTATCAATTGATGTCTACCACAGAACTCAAATCACATTCATCAGGAATGCTCACGTGCCCAGTTCCTTCAGAGCTAGTTTACTTAGGACAGCCATTGGAAAAATACCTCATGGAGAATGCCAATGTATTCAAACCTAGAATGAAAAGAAGTGTAAGTTATACAATTACATGCACTTTCCCAAGAGGCTTCATTCTGAAAGTTTGCAAGAAAATGAAGATAGAAATGAACTTATTCAATATTTTAGTTAGAAGTTTTACAAATATAAAAATACCTACAACAAAAGAGGCTAATTCCAAAGTGGTGTATGGTTAAAACCAGAGAATCAGATAAAAACTCTTGCTTATTGATTATGTTCTCTGGATTACCTTTAGGAGGTCATCATCTCTTACCTCCTAGAATTGTTGTGAAGAAAAAGATGTGAGGGCTGGGAGAACTATATATGCCACCCTAAACTCCTTAGAAAAAAGATGGAATAATTCTATGGTAAATAAAAACTTCAGCCAGATAGGATAGACAGCATGACCGATATAAAAGTATCTTAAAGAAATGAGAGAGACTGTCTCAAGCATGAACTCAGCTGAACTATGCAAGAGGCTTCAATGTAGGCAGTCAGTTTGGCTCCACTGAATCAAAGGAGTTTACAGCTCACAAAATGTATGACAATTCTGAAATAAAGGTTGCCTGTTCTGTAGAGGGAGACATCCTGTTTCTGTACAACATAAATGCTTGCTAATCTGAGAAATGCTATTTGGCATTATGCCTTACAAGTCATGTAGCACCTTGTAGAAATGACTAACTATGTACATGGATATGTTGTTAAATATTTAAATCACACAATTCTCTCTTGACCTAAACCTTTTTGTACTTTCCTAGAATTTTCTAGGAAAGTACAAAAAGGTTTGGGTCAAGAGAGAATTGTGTGATTTAAATTTTTTATAT